TATAATTGCAATTATATGAATAACTAATGTATTCATATAATGAAATTCTATCTCACAATGTATACAGAAACATGCAACAACATGGATGAATCCATGTACAGGCATACCTTGTTTTATTGTGCTTTATTGTACTTTACAGATGTTGCATTTTTTACAAATTTAAGGTAAGGCCCTCCAACAGCAAAAATAAATAAATAAATAAATAAATAAATAAAATAATGACTTGCTGAAAATTGAAATGATGGATAACATTTTTAGCAATACTATTTTTTAAATTAAGGTATATATTTTTTTTTAGACATAATGCTATTGCACACTTACTAGACTACAGTATAGTATAAACATAACTTTTACATGCACTGGGAAACCAAAATATTTGTGTGACTCACTTACTGTGATTTGCTTTATTGCAGTGGTCTGGAACTGAACCCACAATATTTCCCAGGTATGCCTGTATATCCCTCCAAAATTAAAAACACGTTTTTAAACAAGTAGATATATACACTTGTTCATAGCAGCACTAGCCACAGTAGCCAAAAGATGGAAATGTCCATCAATGGATGAATCGATCAACAAATTGTGGTATATACATATAATGGAATATTATTCAGCCATGAAAGAATGAAATACTGATGCATATAACACCACAATCTGGATGAGCCTCAAAAACATTATGCTAATTGAAAAAAGTCAGACATAGAAGGTCACATGCGTGATTCCACTTGTAAAAAATATTGAGAATAGATGACTCCATAATGAGAGACTGGTGGTTGCCAGGGGCTAGGGATGCAAATTAATAGGGAGAAATTACTTAATGGGTAAGGAGTTTTACTTTAGAGTGATAAAAAATGTTTGTGTCTAGATAGAGATGGTGGTTGCACAACATTGTAAATGTACTAAAGGCCACTGGATTGTTAACTTTAAAATGGTTTTATGAAATGGAATTTCACCTCGTTATTCGTTTAAATATGAGTTGATATATGATATGAAATAATTCATTGCACCATTACTTGTAAAAGCAAAAACTATAACTAACCCAAATGTTCATTAGCAGGAGACTGGCTAAATACAGTAGAGTAACCATACACTGTCTATAAAAAAGAATTAGGAAGCTGTATACAAACTGATGTGAAATATCTCTAAGATGTACCATTTACCAGGGAAAAAAGGCAAGATATAGAACAGTTCATATGCTACTATTTATGTTAAAATGTGGGAGCAGATTACACACATACTATTGAGTAGTGGAATTGCAGTATCATATGGTAATTCTACATTTAACTTTTTTGAGGAACCACTAAACTGTTTTCCACACCAGCTGAACTATTTTAAATTCCCATCACCAATGTATGAGGGTGAGGGTCCCATAATTTCTACATTTGTTATTCCTTAACAACAATTAATATTTCCTTTATTTTATTTTTTTTTAATTATAGACATCCTAGTGGGTGTGATGGAGTACCTCCTTGTGGTTTTGGTTTGCATTCCTTAATGACTGTTGATACTGAGCATATTTTCTTGTGCTTTGGCCATTTCTATATCTTGTTTGGAGTTCTTTGCTTTTTTTTCTTTGCTTGTTTTTTAATTGAGTTGTGTTTTTTATTGAGATGTAAGAATTCTTTATATATTCTAGATACTAGTCCCATATCAGATATATGTTTTCTAAATATTTTCTCCCATTCTGCAGGTTCTCTTTTTATTTTTTGATAATATATTTGGTGCACAAGTTTTTAATTTTGATGAAGTCTAGTTATCTTTTGTTATTTTGTGCTTTTGGTGTCATGTCTGAGACTTCATGGTTTAAGCCAATATAATGAGAATGCACTCTTACGTTTTCTACCAAACTATTTATGGCATTAAGGTCTTATATTTAGGTCATTGATCCATTTTGAGTTAAGTTTTGTATACTGAGTTGGGGAGGAGTTCAACTTCATTCTTTTGCTTCCTAATTGTGAATATCCAGTTGTCCCAGCGCCATTTGCTGATCAGACTATTTTTCCTCGTTGAATGGTCCTGGCACCTCTGTTGTAGATATTTATAAAAGGAGACATTTAAGCCAAGAGTGTCTGTTGGTCAAGATACCACAAAGTGAAAAGAAGCTCAGACAGGGAGCAATATATAGAACTTTCTAGACTGTATAAAGCAAACTTCTAAATCAATAAGAAAAAGACATCCCAATTTAAAAAAAAAAATCATCAAAATGTGTATATCCCTAAAGAAGGAAAAGTGAATAGCCAGCTATAGGCATGAAAAGATTCTCAACTTAAAAAATAAATAGCAATGCAAATTTTAACTATGAGATACTCTCTGTATGCTCTGAGATTGGCAAAAATGAGTCTGACAATAAATATGTTGGCATGGGTCTGAAGCAATGAGACCTAAAATCTGCTCTGAGGTGTCAATTAGTTACAACTGCTTTTTAATTCAGTATATCATCTAGTCAAGTTGAATATGTGAATTCACACATTTGTATAACCTCGTAATTCTATTTCTTTTTCTGTACTGTAGATAAATTCTTATGCCCATGTGTCAGGTCACAAATACGGGGGTAGACAAAAGTAGGTTTACAGTTGTGAGTATTAATTACTGTATTATTTATTTCTATCATTTTCATATGGACAACTGTAAACCTACTTTTGTCCACTCTTGTATAATGATATTTACACTAGCATTCTCCATAATAATAAGAAAACTAAAAACACTGGAGAGATGTTTATAAACAGGAGAAGGATGAATGCACATAATTTTGAGTAGTAAAGCAGGAAAACATACTTAACATTATTCTGTCTATATACATTTTTAAAGCATACAGACTTAAGTAGTAAATATTTAGTAAAGCTATAAAGAAAATCAAGAAAATGATAAAATTCAGGATAGCAGTTACCTCTGGAAGTTGAAAGAAAAATAGTATGAAGGAGGCACATTGTATTAGTTAAGATACAGGTTTAGCTGCAAATGACAGAAACCCCAAATAGTGACATGAACAGGATATAAATTTACTTCTTTGTCTTGCAGCAGATTGAACATACTCTGGTCACGACAGCTATGCTTTACATGGTTACTTAGGAGCCAGGCCCGTCCTGCATACGTGTTTGAGGTTTTGAGCATTACCCTCACCCGTGTGGCTCACCACCACAGCTCTGTTAGAGGTAGCAAGGTGGACGAAGAAAGGAAAGTGACCTTTAAGGTCACTTCCTGGACATTGTACACATGACTTCTCTTCATGATGTTCTGGCTAGAATTTAGTCATTTTTAGATGCAAGAAAGCTTAACAAGTGTGCCCAGCAAAAATCAGGAGCTTTGAACAGGGAGACAATACAGGTACCAGGAGGAAAGTAGCATCTAGTAGTAACCTCTTCTACAGGCTTGTGCGGGCAGTGTAAGAGAAGGGCATCGAAGGTACTGGTAATGTTCTGTCTCTTAAAGTAGGATGGTGAGTATAGGTATTTTTTAAAAGTTATTTTTAAAAATATAAATTATATTTTCTTTTATATATATGAAATGTTTCATTATTAAAGTTAAAACATTTATTGAATATTTTTCAGGATTTGACTTGAATTTTATGCACCATATGGTATTGTTGATCACACCCTCTAGACATTTGCATTTTTATTGGCAAGAATCTCCTGGTTTTTCTCTTATTTCTCCATCCATTCCTTTTCAGCCGCCTGGGCTTCACTTTCTCTGCAGGGAAAAAAAAGGCCTTTTCCTAGATGCCCCTCACTTGTCTCCATAATTATTTAGGATAGTTTCAAATTGGCTAATGGGTTTCCTGGATTTGGAAAAATTTCAAGAGAAAACTAATTATATGGTAAATATTCAGATTTTATTAACTTTTATTCATAATGCTCTAGCCATATATGGAAAAAGCAAGGTTAACACATTTTTTTCTTTGTAATTTCAAATAAGTGTTCCTTATACCTTTCTGAACTACATCATAAAAGAGCAATTAATTCTATAATGAGTTGAATATGCATCTTGTAAATGTAAGAAATAGCAACTATTCCTATATATGTATACATATGACATAATTAGAATAAATCTTGGCAGTGACTCAACATTCTTGTAATCATGTATTCACATGAATCTTTTTATAAAAACTCATCTATTTATTAGATCACCCAGAATAATAATGACTGAATTTCCTAGCCTTCCTTGTAACTAGGTGTGACTATCTACCCTAAGTCTTGGCCAATGGAATGTAAACAGAAGTCATGTGACAAATTTTAGCATATATTAACAGGGACTTTTTTTTTCCTCCAATGAAATAGTCTCAGGCATACATGCACTTGAAGTTTTATACACGTACATTTTTTTAAGCAGATAAGATAAAATTCAGTTGGTCAGCATTCATACTCTTTTGATTTAGGAACATGGTTTTCTTGAGATTCCTGGACTCAAATCTTTTTCTTAAAAAACAAACTCATGTAACATATTGCATGTTTCATGCATATTTTTAATGTTTTATTTTAAATTAAATTTTACTTAACGTAAACATGTAAAGTACTCATAGTACTTTACTGTTATTCCAGTGTAGATATTGTCTGTCATTAGAATTTAAGTCAGAGACTCCAGTTTCATTCATTGGTTGTAATAGGTTGCAAGGAGGAAAAGAGTATACACAGTTCTTAATGTAGCCCTTGCTTACCATCACTTAGAGTTCTCACTAATCTGGAGTGTAACCATTTTCTTTTCACCCAAAGTTTCTCAAACTCATTTCTCTTTATTGCGATTTCATAAGATGGAAGAAAGACTCATTTTCATAGACATTGCTCTTCATTTTGAAAAACTGAAAAGGACTAGTCGAAGTTCATCACATTCATGGCCTTAAGTAATTTCTCTTCCTTACTCTGTCATTTTAAAGGTCTTTCTCCAAGATGACTTAAGCCAGGACTTCTTTCTCTGTTATTCAGATACTGTGCTATAACTGTTGCATTCTCTCTGATTCAGTTTTCAAGGGAAAAAAAAATGAAATCTTTAAACGGTATTTTTTCTTGCAGACTTTGCCTTCAAAAGAGACAGAGTTTTTAAATACTACACAGATGCCTTGTCTGCAGTCAGCTTCAACCTGGAGTGCCTGTGAACACAGTTCAGAATCTCAGCTATTCAGAGAACATGTGTCAGAGCTAGATTCTTCTTTCCACTCTGTTCTGTCATTGCCATCAGGTAAGCCTCCTGCTAAAACACTTCTCAGTAACTCTGAGTGTTCTCTAAGGTGAAATCTAATTCTATAGAAACAACGAATCTAATAATATTTTAGTTACCAATTATTCTGGATATTACAACTAAACAGTTTTCGTAGAGGAATTAAGTCACATGCTCACTTAATGTTCTTTATTTGCAAGTAGTTCTTTAAGTCTTTGGAACTAATCTTGATTTACTTTGGGAAATAACTAGCTTTCGATCTTTTTCCTAGTGTTAAATTTTTAGCATTCTATTGATAATATGGTTATGTTGTTGAAATGTTTCTAAGTCATTGTTCATTTTCTGATGTGTTATTTGCAGGGAGTTTTCCCTGACATATAACATTCCTTCATTTATAATTACCAGTGGATTTCTTGGAGAGAAGAAAGTTGTCCATCTTTAGGTATTACCAACTTTTGAACCCTGAGAATATCTACAGAATATAATTTACAGCTGAGTAAATGAGACATACACATTCCCACATCCCAAAGTAGTTTTAAGATTCTAGTTCTTGGTTTCTGTTGGAACCTTTCCATTCTTATTTAGGAACTAGAGTATATACTGAACATTAAAAAAAAAAAAAACAACAACCCTCCCCTCCCCCATTTTACACAGTGGTTATCTTAGGTTCTTCTCTTTATAGGAAGCTTTTGTTTCCTTTCAGCTTCTGGCTCTAATCATGAAGGGACTGCTTCTCTTTGTAGAGCACCGTTTTTTGTACCTATCCCTGCTCTGAATCTTACTTTGGTTTTTACCAGTATTAGAATGGTTTATTAAGTACATATCATACTTTGAAGTGAGTTCCTGGCAGGAACTATTTTATTCTATCTTTGAGGAAACCTTAATAATAGAAAGAAACAATAATAAATATAACGATAATGCAGCTAACTTTTGGTCTTAGCGTACCCTGGGCCATATAAAAGCATGTTACAGTTTTATTTTACTTTTTTTTTTTACAGTTTCTTATTTAATTCTTACAATAACTCTATGATAATGGGTACTGTTGTCCTCTTTACCTTACATAGAGAAAATTGAGGCTTAGAGATGTTAAATTACTCATCTGGGATTACATAGATTATTAGTAATAAAGGTAGGATTTGGTCTGAGACAGCCAGTCTCCAGAGCCACACTCCTAACCTTCTCTTCTTACTGCCTGCCTTCTTGGTCATGAACTTGTTACCAATGATATAACTCTGAGTTAGTATACATATTCTTTATTTTAATTGTCCTATGTCCCCTCTGGTAAGTTAAAATTATCTTCCTCACCTACTAATTAGGATTATTCTTTCCTTGTTGTGTTCATTTAGTAAAAATCTGAACACCTACTGTATCCTAGATACTACGTAGGAGCTAGGAGTAAAAATACAAATAAATCCCTCAAGGTATTTGCATTCTAGTTTAAGACAACTGAAATGTAAACTAATAAGCATAATAAAATGTTATAAAATATTTGGATAAAAGCCCACCGGTCACTGTGGGTACTAAGGAAGGTATATGGATGGAACAAGAACCTTCCCTAGTTATATCATGCTTTCTCACAACTCATGAAGAACAGTAGTAGAATAGATGACAGTCTCTTCATAAAAGTAAGTGCTGTTTCTTTGGAGAAACAAACTTATGTTTGGTAATTGGCAATACCAGAATCCCAGAATGTTTAAGCAGCCTCCATGATGATACTCATGAACCTATTGTTTCTTCATATTTTTTCACACTTTGGTATGGATGTGCCATCAAAAAACATTCTTTGAGGGAGAGATGCTTGTTTAAAATTCAGACCCTTCCTGGGTCTGTCCTGCTAAGTGTTCATAGTTTTCCTAAATAATAAATACCTTCTTTCAGTAATATAATGTTCAGTATATCAACTGCTTCATAAAATATTTGTTTCTTAGGAAAAAGGTTAGGTACCTCTTAATAAATAATGCTTTTTAAGATAAATTTATTTTTGCATTCTTGATTTAAAAAATAACCATTAACAAATGTGAAGCACATTTTACTACTTAGGTCCTCTTTCAGTTGTGAGAATATAGAATATAAACAGTGAATTGAATGTCTCTCTTTAAAGAGAACTAGTCTGTCAATAGGTTTTAATATTTGTAAAAGATTTTGTAATTCATATTACTGCTAACCTGAAAGAACGTAAAAGTCGACATTTTCCCAAAAAGTGGCATCTGAAAAGTTTTCCCTTCAAGTAGTTAAAACCATGTATTTTATCTTTTGGAAACCTTGTTATTTCAAATGCTAAGGTTGTGGGGATGGAGTAGAATGGTCTTAAAAAGAGTCAGCCAGGTTTGGCTGCATGTTTTATTAAAAATATTTTGGGTACATTTGTTTTCATCTGAATATTTATAATTTTGTTCATCTGTGTACTATTTTAGTGGTTCATCATTAGTGTTTGTTTATTTAGAACAAATAATCAGTAATTCCAAATAACTGCTACCCATATGTTTGAAAGAGTATTCTGCCACTTCTGAAAGTTGTGACTTTTTGAGCTTTTGCCTATTTTTCTAAGCTTATGAGGTATGTACAATTTATAGAAATAAAGCAACCTTAATGAAGCTATAAAGAGTAGTGTTCACTGTAAATGTCTTTTTACTTTATTTTTCCAGATGTGCCTCTCCATTTTCACTTTGAAACATTGTTTAAAAAGACTGAAATAAAAGGCGATCTTGCTGAAAATAAATTTGTAGGAGACTGTATCCTATCTCCATCCCCTGGTATGTCATTTACAAATCTTGTACTTTATATATATACCTTTTATATTTTTCATATACTTACTGCTTTTGCTTTTGAAGGAAATAAAATTTATCAAAGGAATAAATGTAAATCTTTAATTTTTAATATTCACTTTTCACAAATCACACACAGAGAAAATACATGGGAGTAATACTAACAAGAAATGTGTTATACTTATTGAATGAAAATCATGAAACATTATTGATAAATATAAAAAGAAATTTAAATAAATATGGATAAACAACATTCCCAGATAGTAAGATTAATAAGGATAGCAGTTCTCCCTGTTGGTTTAAATGTTTAATGCAATGTAATTTGAAGTTCTAATAGAATTTGGTTAACTTAACAAAATAACTGTAAAGCCCACTGGGAAGAATAAATGAGAAAATACAAAAGGAATATAAAAGGCTGGAAAAAGTACTGAGAGAATCTAGCACAACCACTTATGGAAATATGACAAAAACCTATAATAGCTTACATTTTGTTTTGCTTACACTTAGGAAAGTAGATCCATGAAGCAGACTAGCAGCTTATACTTTATTATATAAGTTAAATCAGTGAGAAAATGGAGAACTACTCAGTAAAGAATATTGTTAGTCTTTTGGGGAAAGTTTGTTTGCATAGTCATTTCATACCATGTATCAGAATTAATTCTAACTGGTTCAGGAATTTTAAATAAAAAACTAAAATTATAAAATAAAACCTGAAAAATTACAATGAAATGTTTATGAGTACTCTGAATGGGATGGGGACAATTGCTATGTTTGGAAACTATCAGAAAAAGATATCAACATATTTTTAGTATCTGCAAAGCTAAAAACATCAGTATTTAAAGTGTCATAAAAAATGTTTTACTTTTAAGATAAATTATTTCCAGAATAATCATAATTCTCAAAAACTCAAGAATCAGCTGAATGTCTGTTATAACTGGAGTTCTGAAAAATAGATTTGAAAATAAATTTTATAAATTTATATATACCAGAAATAACAAGTTAGAATTTGTAAGGAAATGTTATCCTAGACACATTAAAAATATAACATATCTAGGATTAAACTTAACAATGACCTATATGAGGAAAACATCGTTTACTGAGGAACCTGAGTATGTGCTTATTATGGAGAGAAATACCCCATTCCTGTCACAAGAGAATTTTCAATAACTTAAAATGTCCTTTTTCCCCAAGTTAATTTATAATGTAATTTTAATCAGAATCACAGAAGTATTCTTATATTGGAACACTTATTCTGAAGTTTATCTCATAAAGAGAATATTGAATGGCCAATAAAAATTGTAAAAAATCAATGAGGTGGTGTCAGGTATCAAAATGTATTATAAAGCTGTAACTCTTAAAGTCCCATGGAGCTGGCCACGAGGGGCTGCCGCCTCCTAGGCCTGGGCCCTTAGGGAGGAGGCGGCATGAAGATGGCAGATGACCCAGTGCTGCACACAGGGATGTGGGGATCTGGAAGATGAAGAAGCTGATGAAGAGCTTGGAGGTGGCCTATGACGATGGCGCAAGCATGATATCATTGATCGTTCCTTCCAAAGACCAGATTTCACGAGTGACAAAGATGTTAGCAGATGAGTTTGGAACTGCATCTAACATTGTCACAAGTAAACCACCTTTCAGTCCTGGGAGCCATTACATCTGTACAGCAAAGCCTCAGACTTTATAACAAAGTACTTCCAAATGGCCTAGATGTTTACTGTGGCACAATGGTAACAGAAGAAGGAAAGGAAAAGAAAGTCAACACTAACTTTGAGCCTTTCCAGCCAATTAGTACATCACTGTATTTGTATGACAACAAATTCCATGCAGAGCCTCTTACAACACTCCTACCGGAGAACAGCAAGTGTGGCTTCATTGTGCCAGAGGGTAGTGGTGCACTTCTTGGCCCACTCCAAGGAAACACCAGGGAAGTCCTGCACAGAGTCACTGTGGATTTCCCAAAGGAATATGGTAGAGGCGGTCAGTCAGCCTTGAGTTTTGCCCAAGAATGGAAAAGTGCCATAACTATGTTCGGAAAGTAGCTGAGACTGCTGTGACGCTGTTCATTTCTGGCGACAAAGTGAATGTGGTTGGTCTCGTTTTAGCTGGGTCAGTTGACTTTAGAACTGAACTAAGTCAATCTGATATGTTAGATCAGAGCAGAGCAAAGTTTTAAAATTAGTTGAGATATTCTATGGTGGTGAAAATGGATTCAACCAAGCTAATGAGTTACCTGTTGAAGTCCTCTTCAATGTGAAATTTATTCAGTAGAGCAAATTAATAGGATGATACTTTAATGAAATCATCCAGGACATGGACAAGTATGGTTTTGGAGTTGAAGATAAAGTAAAGACTTTAGAAATGGGAGCTGTAGAAATTCTAATAGTCTATGAAAATCTGAATATAATGAGAGATGTTCTTCATTGCCAAGGCATAGAAGAGGAGAAAATTCTCTAACTCCAGAAGAGAAGGATAAATCTCTTTTCACAGGCAAAGAGGACAAAAACATGAACTAATTGAGAGCATGCCCTTGCTGGGATGGTTTGCTAGCAGCTATAAAAAATTTGATGCTACACTAGAAATTGTCACAGATGAGTCACAGGAAAGATCCTACTTTGTGAGAGGACTTGGTGGGATTGGAGGTATCTTGTGGTACTGTGTAGATTTTCAGGGAATGGAATGCCAAGGAGGAGGGAACGAATTTTTTGACCTTGATGACTGCTAGATAATCAACACGGACCTGGCAAAATGTGCCTCACCCTCCAGCATCTAAGCCAAGGGGCATACCTGTGGTGGAATCCAAACAGACCCTTGCTTTACCGTTGGAACATTTCCAGAACTTAATCCCTGAGCATTGGATATTGAAAACCAAACCAAAAGCAGACCTAACCCTACACTTTGGTTTGACATGGTGTCAGTGCAGTAGCCTACAACCAAGTTCCTAAATGCTACTTTGGGCTAATTTAAACAAGAATCCTAGTTTTCACTTTTACTCAATGGTGAAATTGGTTGCTCTTCTATTTTATGAAAACAAAATGATTTTTTTAACCTTCATACATAGAAGCAAAAATACTCTAACTGCTGAAAACTTTCAAAACTTAGTAGAAATAAGATCATACTGGTTTGTTTCATGTTTTGATTGGAAAAAATTAAATTGGTGCATTTCACATTGACCCATTTACATGCATTCTCAGTTTAGACTGCATAAGAAGAAATATATGTGGTGCTGATGGAAACCAGATCAAGGAAATTAAATAAAAGACCTAGAGACAGACTAAAGGGTTCATTATATGATAAGATGGTAATTCCTATCAGTGTGGAAAGGATGGCCTAGTCAATAAATACAATGAACAATTCTTAGGCAATTTTCCTTATATGCCAGTACTGATTGAAGGGCTTTATATTTGCTTGCTTTAATCTATACATCCTTGTAAAGCAAGTATTACTTTTCTCCTTGACTAACTTTCCCCAGATCACAGTTTAGTGGTAGAGCTAGGATTCAGATCCAAGCAATCTGGCTCAGAGCACATGCTCAGACAACTCAGTTTCTTTCGTAATTAGTGGCATTAAATAATGACTTTTGGGAAAAGATAAAATGAGATCTCTAACTTAAAACAAATTTAAGATGGATAAACATTTAAATATGTTCCAGATGAATTAAAGAGTAGATGTTAAAAACTATCTTATGAATGAGAAAAACTAGCTGTATTCAGTGAGTACTTATGTGCCAGACTACTTTTTCTGGTTACATTAATAAATTTAAACATTATAGTCACCAATTTTGGTAAGACTGTAAATCATTTAGGACCCTCCATGCATTTTAGGTGCCATTAAGAATTAATATAAGCCTTTTGGAAAGTAACTGTGAATTGCCTTTACAAGACCTATAAAGTACGTACTTCTTAAAATAAGACCATGGCGGGGGGGGGGGGGACAACTACTTGTATACTTGCTTACAATAAATTACTAACTTATCAACTCTGTATTCTGATTCGATAAACCCATTTCTAAGAACCTAGTCTAATCCAATGGAACCCCTTTTATTTACAATATATTTACTTAATATATTTGTGTTAATAAAAAACTGGAAACTTGAACATAATAGAAATGGTTAACTATCATAGTGGAATATACAGCTTTCAAAATTATCTTTTTAAAAAATTTTATTTTCTCACCTAAGGACTTTTTTATTTTTTATTTTTATTGTGCAGTTACAGTTGTACCCATGTTCCCATTGTCTTTAGAGAGAGAGGAAGGGAGAGAAACATCGATTGGCTGCCTCCCATACACATCCCAACGGGGTATCAAACCTGCAACCTAGGCACTTGCCCTAACTGGGGATCCAACCCGCAACCTTTCATTTAATGGGACAATGCTCCAACCAACTGAGCCACACCAACCAGGGCCAGTAATATCTTAAGTTCATATAAGGATGGAAACATCAAAGAATGTTAAATGATCTAAAAGGACAAAAATGTTTTAGTTCTATGTATTATACATGTAAAAATGTTACTTTTTATCAGTCAAATCCAACATGTATGCCTTTTGGGGATCCTGATTTGAACTCAGCTGTACACGTACACACACACACACACAATTTTAGAGAGAGAGAAATTTGAACACGGACTGGATGTTGGACATCAATGAAGTGTTCATTTTGTTAGATGTAATAATGCATGTGATTACATAAATACACATACTTTATCTGTTAGGGATTCAAGCTGACATATGAGTATATGTACATGATAAGATATGCCTGGGATTTGCTTTAAAATACTCTTGGCAAAAAATGGTGGGAAGAAATGAAACAGGACTGGCTACCAATTTATAATTTTTGATGCTGAATGATAGGCCTATGGGAGTTCATTATCTTAGTCTTCTATTTTTAAAAAAATTTTTCCAGAGTAAAGAAAAAAAAATGAAAGCACTAAGGAGAAGGAATAATTGTTTATGTTTAGAAAAAAAATGGGAAAATACAGGTTATGTTCTGG